CTCGCCGTTCCTCAAATAGGCCAGGCACACTCAAGACTTGGGCGTCAGCACTGGTTGTCCCCTCCTCCCCCAGATATCCACACAGCCCCTGTCCTCACCCTCCTCACTTCTCTGCTCAAATGTCACCCTCATCAAGGAGGCCAATGCTGGCCACTATTTGAAATTACAGCCTTCCTCCATGACTCTCATGCCCCCTTACTCTTCTCTATTTTTCCCTTCCCCCCCCCCAAACTTACCACTTTCTAACATCAATAATAATTTACTAATTTATATTTACTGCATCCCTAACCTTCCTGGAATACAAGCTCCACGAGGCCAGGGAACTTTGGATTTTATTCCCTGGTGTATCCTGAGACCCTAGAGCCATGGATGACACATAGGAGGCATTCCCAAAAGGTGGGATGAATGGAATCCGTGTGGCATCCCTCAAATTCCAGAGATGTAGTGGGTCACTCAAGTCTCTATATTACTTCAATTCTTTTTCCGTGTTATTCTTATAGTCCTTTTTGTCCTGACTCATTTCTATGTAGGTAACCGCCTTTCCTATCACAACACCATGATCTTCTTGGACATTTGCTATATGTTTGTTTGCCTGTCACGTAGCAAAAGGTCAGTCATGCCAACGTAATGAACCTACAAAGGTGCCACATATGCGTGGTTCTCTGTCGCCAAATCACTCACTCCACGAGCCAGTATTTGAAAGGTCTCTCCCCATACCCCACTCTCGATACATCTATACACACACACCGCTAATTGAGATCCTTTAAAACTCTTTTTCACATATTTGCTTAATTAGCTTGCACTGACCTCTGCAAAAACACTGGCCTCTGACGATCCTAAGAGGTAGTTTCCTGGCATGGACACCAGAGCATCAAAGAGTCAGCTGGAGGGAAGGAAAGCATAACACAGCTGGATTTAATTATTCATGACAGGCAGCCGAATATATCTGACACAGGTCTTCTCCCTAACACATCACTCAAAACAGGCCGGTTTCAGGAAACGGTAGAGAGACAGAGAGGAAAAAAAAAAAACCAGGATCAGGCCAAAATGTGTCCATAATACAAAGCAGATCATCTTTCACACGGATGACCTTATGCATTTTGCTTTATATTTTTATGATGGTCCCACATCTATAAGACTGCTGACCCTTTAAGACTCGGCGTGCTCCTATGCTGGGGCTTAGCAGTGGTGGCTCAGGTTCTCGGAAGAGGAGGTGGGTGACGATCGCACCCATTCGTGAATCATCGTACGAGCCAAGGGTCCTCCATGGTTCACGTAGAAGTGCAGGCATGTTTGCAATTAATTCATCTGGGAAGCACAGGTGAGCACTTTCTACTTGCCTTCGACGTTCACAGAAGGATTAACTGTATCTACGATCCAGTTTGTTTCTTTGGGCTTTTGCTTAGCAGGAAACGGGTGAGGATTTTAGGCGTTGCTTTGTTACGACCTACCCATAATTTTAATATTTCTCTCGTATGAAATCCACCCTCTCACCTGATGAAACAATGGGCTTTGGGTTGGCCGTGCCCTTGGGTTGGCTCCTATTAAAAGAAGAGATTTCCTAATTAGGCAGAACCGAATTTTCTTGCTGCAGTCTCCTCCCAGATGCTTGATCCCTGAAGTCACTGCCTTCTTGTTTCTGTGCGTTTCCCGGTCCTGGTGAGCTTGCATTGTTGGATCATGGTTTTGACCAGTCTTGCACATCCCCGTGCTCGCACAACTGCAGAAACCCTTGCGGTTTTTTCCTGCTGCTTTGCTCTGATTTACGTTTGAAGCCAGAAACGTAGACTTCCCCTGAGTCTTTTTGCTTGGAACGTCACCTTTTATACGTTCAACAAAAACTTGGGTTTCAGCTGTACTAGGGCTTATGTCTGTGACTGAGACTCTAACCATGAATGCTCCATTAAAGGGCTCAGAATTTAACAGAGAAAATAGCAAGGAGACTTGATTAGAATGCCACATGATTAGAGCTGTGATATGTTAAGCAGGGAGTGTGAGGGCAGCACGGAGTGAGGGCACCTAACCCAGCACCTAGGGGCTGAGGGAAGCTCTCCTAGACTCAGCAACGTCTAAGCAGTCTGTGCCAGACGAAAAAGAATGAGAGATGTTCTGTACTAAGGAGGTAATATCTATAAATGCTGTGAGCTACGAATCGTACCAACTTTAGGGAACGCAAGTAGTTAAGTACAGGAGCAGGCGATGTGGAAAATCTGAGGCTGCGGAGGGAAGGCAGGGCTAGATCACAAAATGCTTTATACGTCATTCTAAGGAGGTGAGGATTCATGCTATCAGTAATGGGGAGTCACTGAAAGCTTACACATGACACGGTCAGGTTTATATTTCAGAAAGACTGGCATCAGTGCGGAGAATGGATTTTGCTCTGTGGCTACTCCCCTGAAACTGGCCCCTATGCCCGCCTTCTCTACCTAATCTTCCTGTGGCTCTGAACAGCTCAGCTCCACACCCCTTTCCCCGTCAGTATTCTCAAACAAAACTAATGATCAGAATCACTTTAAGAGCTTATAAAAATACAGATAATCTGAGCCTACTTTTTCGAACTGGATCCTCATGGGAACGGAGCCTGTCAATCTCTGTTTTATAAAATCTTCCCATGTGATTCTGAGGCAGTTGGACTAGGGACAGAATTAGGGGACTAACAGAGACTGCTACTTGCACCACAACACAGATATGTCGATGAACATCAACAGTGAGTTTGGCTTGTTGCGTTAGATTAAAGATGGCTGGCACTCTAAATATCTTCCTTCTACATGATCTACACCTCTACTCCCAGGACTAGGAAAATCAATCCCTTACTTAAACCCTCCAGAACGTTCTCTTGTTGTTTAAATAACATGTCCAAACCTTAACACAACCCATTAGGCAGCGTAGTCTGGCTCCAATGATCTCTCCTCTCCAGCCACCCTTCCCTCTACCTTGTACTTGTTATTTGCGGAGGGGGGGCGGGGTGGATATTGATGCAATTTACACCCCAACTTCTACTTTGTCAATTAAATTAAGGGTAGTTATGGAGTTGAGAAATTGTGTAAATCAGTAAAGATCTGAAAACTGTCTGAAAAAGGGGTGCCTGGGAGGCTCAGTCGGTTGAGCATCTGACTTCGGCTCAGGTCCTGATCTCGTGGTCGGTGAGTTCGAGCCCTGCGTCAGGCTCTGTGCTGACAGCTCAGAGCCTGGAGCCTGCTTCGGATTCTGTGTCTCTCTCTCTTTCTTCCCCTCCCTGACTCATGCTCTGTGTCTCTCTCCCTCTCTCTCTCTCTCAAAAATAAATACACATTAAGAAAAACTGTCTGAAAAGAATTGGAAAGTGACTTGACTTAGGAAGAGAAAGGGACTGCTGGTCAATCTTCAAGACTCATCTGAGTTAAAGAGCAAATTTCCACATCCACATTATTTCCATATTATTTCCATGTTATTTCCTCCCAAGCTCAAGAACCCAGGGGCAGAGAATATTGATAACTTGTCAACTACCATTTGAGTATTGGCAAAGCAGAAAGCCAAGAGATAAGAGAATTAAGGGTGCTGGTGTAAAAGAAACAGAAAGTTTCTAGAACGGGCCTAAAAAGATGATTCGGCTAATTTGTCCCAAGGGACAGAGGATTAAAACGTGAATGCCCGTGTTTAGCGTATGCAGTCTGGTTGGCAATGGTTCACCATTTGATTTAGTTCTGGTCTTAGGCTTGTTCTCCAGTGGCTCTCACTGACATTCTGTCATGTTACCCTAGAGCATGGTGAGTAACAACAGTTAGAAGGTTCCAGAAGCAAAGTAACATAAATGTTATGTTCCCAGGACATAAATGAAACCACCAAGGTAATCCTATAATGAGGTAGCAAATGCTTCATAATGATTGTTTTCCTCCTAAGTTAGAACTCTGACTTACAAACGTGATTTTTACGGTTACAGCATATCCACGCGGTAGACCTTCTTTAATTAAACTGATGTGTTGCATTTCGCACAAGACTCCGTCTGTCTCAAAACACAATATATGTCAATATACAAATATACGCCTCAACATGAAGATATTGGAGTGCTTCGAAGATAGGAGCAGTGACATTTAAACATTCTGATAATAAAAATGAAATGCTGTGCTTGAATGGTGTTAGATTATTTTTAATTAAACCAATGCCTTAAATTAATCCCATTAGTTCAGTTTTCAGGTTTATCATTTCCCTTCTCTTCCCAACGTACATTCACATCAACGAAAGCAACGGGGCCAGACGCAATGAGGCAAGTGGTGTCGGAGGCCAGTGGCTAAAATTAGATTATCAATGACATTTACTTATCTGTTCACAGCTGAAATTTCAACGGTACAATGTTTTCTCCTGAAACGAGACGCTTCCTCATCACTGAAACGCAGGCTTCTGTTATCAAATTACACCCATATTACATCACTGGGTGGTGAAACTGACCCCAAATAGAAAGCGAAACCATATATACTTTTTCTGTGAAGAGAAAAGCTAAAGACAAGATTAAGCAATGGGTTTGTTTTCATAAGATTATTTTGACCCGTGCCTTTCGTAATTAGGGTGAGCTTTTACTTCTAAGAGAAACAGTCGTCCCGGAGAGGAAGGGAATAGAATGCATCTAACATGAGGGCAGAGCAAGGCGGGCCTAGACTTTACCCCATCCATCCCGGAATACTCCATAATGCAAATCTTCAGGGACCAGGGCAGTTTAGAATTTGTGAACACTGCTCCCTTTTCTGGTTTTGTGTACAATGTACATTTTGGGTGTATACGGCAGTCTCTTAAAACAGTTTTCCTGATGTTTCACTCCATTTATCTGCCGGGAAATCCACCGAGTGTGTGCACGTACTTATAAAATTAGTGGAAACTTGTACATACTACATTGAGCATTTCCAGACATGCATCGGATCCCTTCTCTCCATCCCGCCACCCCCCCCCACCCGCCGCCGTGAATTATGAGGAGCGTACTTCTGTCCCAAAGCACCCCTGTGCAGTCCAGCCCCATTCCCACCTGCTGGTCAGGACTGTCCATCACTGTGCAGTGCGAACATCCACACCGGGATGCACTGTTCTGGAAAGCCATCCTGCTTCTTCTGGCCCAGCACCACCAGCCCGCTCTTCCTAATGAGGCTCCGGAGGATGTCCATGTCCCGAGTCACACTGCTGTCCGAGAGATCGAAGATACAGCCCTCCCGAGCCACGTTGTCCTTCAGTATGATGACACCGTTTTCCTTCAGGCCAGCTCGGCACCGGGAAAGAAATACAAGAAGGTCTTTGTCGGTCAGGTACCCTACAGGTGAGGCCAAGTAGATGGGGAAACAGGATGGAATGGTGGGGGGTGGGGAGGGAGGGGAGTAGGAAGGTAGGAAAGATCACAAGGCTAAGAATCAGGAGACCATTGGTTCACTCATTCATGAATTATTTAATAGGCTGAATTGTTCTGGTTGTGGGAGGCTTCGATAGGAGGATAGGTATTGTCTCTGAGGAGGCTCAGTGTCCCATCTATAAACTAGATATTATGCCACCTGTTCTATCTACCTCATAGGCACGAAATAAACTATTGCCTTTCCCATGAATCCCCGCCATCGTCCCCAGACAACCCAACTTTGTCATTACTGCTCTGTGTCCCCTAGACACACACACTGAGACCAATATCTAACTCACTGCTGTCTCACTTCCTGGGAATTTAAATCTAAGGAAGTCCGGTTTTGCCCCTACATGGGGATAAACTCTTTTTGACCCCACTTTTTCAAGTTTTTCAAGTATTTGGTTTTCTTTGCAGGGTTAGGTTGGTCCAAAGGCACTCCATCTCCAAGGACGGGAATTTTCAGGCTCGTGACAGAGGATGTCAGGGGAGACGGTGGGAGGACCAGAGCTTCGGGGGGAGTTTCCATGATGCCTAAGGCTGCCTAACTACCCTTAGCACAACTACGACTACATCTCCCCGAACGTCCTTGCTCCCTCTCCGCAAATCCTCAAATTAGCCCCAAGTATTGTCTTCTCTCTCTCTCTCTCGGAAGGGGACAAAGGCAGATGCCATGCCATGCAGGACTGACCAGAGACCCACTGAATCCAGATGACATCATATCTCCCCAGTGGGGGTGTAAATTCCTGCAGGTTGTAGCAGTGGTAGCTTTCTACCTTGTCCCCGTTGACCTGCAGGTAGTTCTGGGCTTCGACGAGGAATGATTCCATCATGTCCACCAGTTCCACGCTTTTGAAAACCGGCAACAAGACATGCTTGCTGACCCTTCCTATTCCAGAGCCACAATCCAAGGCACAGTCTGTCCCAGCTCTCCCGGGGCCCTGCAGAAAGGTACCTTGTGGGATGCTTCAAGTACAGACACGTACCCTGAGTCTAGGATACTCCGGTTACCTCTTTGAACCAACTTTATTTAGGTCAATTTTCATATAATAAAATGTACTATTTTAAGTGTACCATTCAATGCATCCAGGCACGTACCGACTACCACAAATAAGTTCTAGAACATCCAATTGCCTCTTTCAAGAAATAGCCAACACTGCTAGTGTTTACTTTCTTTGTTTTATCCAAATAGAGGTCTTGAAAAGAATTGCAAAGTAAGATTTTAGAAAATAATGTTTTAGGTCTAAAAACTCAGTAATTTCCTCTAAGAAATGGGTCACAGAAAGCCCTATAAAGTAGAATGTTATTAACTGTAAATTTGGGTCAAGCCCACAGCTAAATGGACCTGCATGGTAGCTTATTGCTTTGTGAAAGAGAGAAAGAAAGAAAGAAAGAAAGAAAGAAAGAAAGAGGAAAGAAAGAAAAGGGGAAAGGACAGGGAGGAGAGGGGAGAGAGGAAGGGAGGGGAGGAAAGGGGAGGGAAGGGAAGGGAAGGGGAGGGGAGGGGAGGGGAGGGAAGGGAAGGGGAGGGAAGGGAAGGGAAGGGAAGGGAAGGGAAGGGAAGGGAGAGAGGAGATGCGAGGTGAAACGAAGCGAAGCCGGAAAACCTTACAGACAGAATTTTGCTTCAAACCCACCCCGATGGCACACAGCACATTCACATGGATAGAAGGTGTTTGTGGCAAAGTCTCCTTATCTCTTTTAATGCTAGAAATTGTTTCCTGTCTTTGTAAGAGAAACTGTATGATGTACTGTGCACAAAACCCCCTAAAATTGTTTTTATAAAGTAGGTCTCGGGGACCCTGGGTGGCTCAGTCAGTTGAGCGTCCAACTTTTTATCTTGGCTCAGGTCATGATCTCATGGTTCATGAGATCGAGCCCCACGTGGGGTTCTGTGCTGATGGTGCAGAGCCTGCTTGGGATTCTCTCTCTCCCTTTCTCTCTAACCACCCCCCTCTTTCTCAAGATATAAAAATAAAAAATCAACTTTAAAAAGTAATAAAAATAAAGTAGGTCTGTACACTAAATTAACCGGAGGTGAAGGATGGATAGATGGTGGAGGAGGAAATCAGCCAATGAAAACTTTCTCAAACTTGCTTCTGTAAAGTAGTATATTCATATGCACATATGCATATATATATATATATATATATGGCCAGCTGCACATATACATATATACATATATATATATATATATATATATATATATGGCCAGCTGAAACTCTGAGATATATATTATTCGGTCTGTCTATATTATCTGGTCTAAATTATTTGTCCATAATTGGGATGACTGCTAAATAGATTTTATGCTAGAAATTATAATAATAAGATCTTGCCAATCAAGATCTTAAGGAGAAAGCCTACTCTTGTTTTCTCAGGAACTAAGGATTTAAGAAAAGATTTGAGCAGAAGGAAACATCAGAAATGCCGCTTCCTAGTCCACTCAAAGGGCCTTCTGTACAGCAATAAAGGCACAGTGAAGAACAAAAAGTGAAGACATTTTGGCTTCTTTTCAAATGGAATCATAATAAGCATGATTTATCATGTGCTTATATACAGAAGCTCTTCGCATCTGTAATAACTAACATCAAAACAACTCCACAAGATAATGATTACCCCCCAGTTTGAAGCTGAGGAGTCTTGGGTTTCCACAGCTAATGGCAGACCTAGAACTTGAACAGGGAACTGTGTGAATCCAAAGGCAGTTCTACCTTAGAGCAGTCCCCTCAGGCGCCAACTCCGATTCCCTTGATAGTATCTGTCCGATGCTACGTTGAAAAAAATTCTAAGGCTTCGCTGAGACTGAGCAGGAAAGAGCTCTGTGATTGACTAGTGATGTCTCCCTTGAGTATGGGAAGGGGGACGTGGTGGCACCCATACCATGTATTTGCCATTTCCACTTACACGATGCCACCTCCCTCATTCAGATATTATAACGTAAACGAAACTCATTCAGAGAAAAAGAAGACCTAGGCTAAAGGCTTATGCTGTGAGCGCCATAAAGAAAACATCCCTTAAGTAAATCCACAACATAAACGCGATGGGTGGGATAAGTATAGGAACGTTATCGTAAGCTGTCGAAATGATCTTAGTAGAAATGTGTATACTCAGAAATTACTACAAATTTTTCTTACCATTACTTGGCCTTAAAGTCTCCACAGATCATGTTGCTCACATTATCGTAGCAAGTGGCCTTAGAATTAGAACCATAGAAGGATAAAGCAAAGAGGGCTCGGAGACCTATGCCAGAGATGTCAGATTACAATAGCTGACCTCCTTTTTCTCATTGAACAAATAAACCTGAAGCTGCTCTTGTTAAAGTGAGGCAGAGCCTCACCCGCTCACCCTTCCTGTCATTCTCCCAGTAGGACCTTGAAGGATCTCAGCAAAACCCTAGAGTGCTTAAAGCACTCATGTCTAATTTCCCTACTTTTTTATACCAAGAAACTGAGGCTCAGAGAGGTGAAATGTTTGGAATAGAATTCCCTTGAAAATTCTCACTCTCTGATTTATATTTTTCACCAACGGAGACGTGCGATATTTGACTATAATTACTTTCGAAACAATGGTCATTTACAAATACAGAAAGGCACCTTTCACCCAAATTGTGTGTACTGCTCGCCTCTCACCACTGTGGCTTAGTTGTGTTTATTATATTTCACTGCATACGGCTTCCACTGCCTCCCATATTCTTTCTCTCTCTCATTCACATGCAGCTCGTATGGGAAGGGGTATTTAAAGCCCGTTCTCGGGGCGCCTTGGTGGCTCAGTCGGTTAAGCGTCCGACTTTGGCTCAGGTCATGATCTCACGGTCCGTGAGTTCGAGCCCCGCGTCGGGCTCTGTGCTGACAGCTCAGAGCCTGGAACCTGCTTCGGATTCTGTGTCTCCCTCTCTCTCTGCCCCTAACCCACTCGCATTCTGTCTCTGTCTCAGAAATAAACAGACATTAAAAAAGAAAATTTAAAGACCATTCTCAGGCACATCTCCTGCCTCCTGGACACCAAGGCTGCCTGTATTGAAATCTGATGTCCTTCCATGAATGTGACTGGACCTATATACAAGGTGTGATTTCAAAACAAGATGTTTTGTTAATTCCATTCTCATTTATGGTATTGTCTTCATACTTATGGATTCATATAAAATAGTAAAATACTCTTGGGAATTTGGTTTTTAGTTTTGATTCTGCCTATATGTTTTGTTTTCAAAGACATCATTGTAAGTTCATTCCTGTGGGATTTAAAACTCAAAAGGAAGTGCTGAATGCCACTGTATAGAAACCGTGAAATATAACAAGTGAGACCCAGAGTTTTTAATCATCCAATCTCTGAGAAATGTCAATAGATAAATACTGTCAAATACTGATTACTTTTTACAAATTGCCACTTTCCCCCACTAGAAAGCTAAAATTGAGGACCGTTATCAGCTGTGCCATTGACATCACCTTGGCATCATTTGTTTATTTGCTAAAGTAAACATAAACGCAGCAAGTTTAAACCACTTTTCTCGCTGTCCTGTGTCCCTAAGTGTTGAAAGGAAAGCAAAACTTTAAATTAAACAATCTGCCTTTTCCCAGTTGACATAAGGATAAATCATGTCAGATACTCATATTCCATAACTCCTTGTATCTTGACCTGGATACTAATTTAGCAGATTATTGAGGTCAAAGTACAAAAATATCATTTCTTTAAAAAGACTGTTTATACTCAGTTAGAGGTCACGGTTTCACAATGAGCCTTGTCTCCTAAGAAGGACTCCTTATATTTGTTTGAAAAGAGCAGGCTCCTCTTTTCCAACACAAATATGCAAGCACAAGCCTGTTTCCTTTCCCAGGTCCATGGGCGTTGTATGGGCTCTGTCTGACCAGCATCCCTGTGGTCAGCTTGGCACTCCACATGGAGTGACAAGACAGCTGGATTACTAACTAAGCTTCTGAAATGCACTGGGATCAAAGTCAGCCTCACCACGAGGCAGGCAGAAGGGAGAGCTTTCGGCCAGGCCGGAGGAGAATTGAGGTCTGTGGTACACACACACACACACACACACACACACACACACACACCAAGGATTTTTCTGCTTCCTGAGACAAATGGAAAAAATATGTCACGGTTAAGAGTAGAGAGTCTGGTGTCAGACAGGCCTGGCTGGACTTCAGTCCCTGCTCTGTCTCTTACCGGCTGCATAACCTTGATGACTTAGTTAACGTCTCCAAACCTCGGTTTCTACCAATGTAAAAAATACGGATGATAATAGTACTTACCTTCTAGAATTCTTTTGAAAAGTAATCAAGACGATACTTCTAAAGTGCTTAGCAGAGGGACTATTGCAGGAAAAGCACTCCGTGAAATCAGTCAGTGATACTGATTTAGAAATACTCCGGGTTATCCTGACCTACAAACATTTATGGACGTCATCTCCAGCTTCATGGTCCTTCGTGACCACAGCTGATGTTCAGGCACGTCAGCCCCAATGGATGCTCCATCCTGATTTAACTTCTCTGCTCAGACACTTGGTGCTCCATGGAGGTTGGATGTGAAGTGAACTTCACCTTAACACTCGGGATATTCTTGATAGTGCACTTGAAAACCTAACTCAGATATTTATAATATTGATAATGCTTCCCTTATCAGGATACAATGGGCTCCAAATTTCAAACAGATGACTTCCAAATGAATTGGAACGAAACCTGGTTGCCAGTTAGGACTTTGTCTTCAGTAGGACCAACAACAGCTTTGTGGTATTGGCAGCTTTATTAAATCTATTCTAGCAACTAAATGAAGTTCCTGAAACTCTAATGAATGCATTTTATGAAAGCCTGTTATTACTTTTTTTAATTTTTTAATGTTTATTTTTTTTTTGAGAGAGACACAGAGACAGAGACAGAGCATGAGCAGGGGAGAGGCAGAGAGAGAGGGAGACACAGAATGGGAAACGGTCTCCAGGCTCCGAGCCATCAGCACAGAGCCCCATGCGGGGCTTGAACTCACGGACCGTGAGATCATGACCTGAGCCGAAGTCAGACGCTTAACTGACTGAGCCACCCAGCCACCCCAAAGCCTGTTATTATTAGTAGTAGCAATAAATTAGATTTATTGGGTAATAATTATGCACAACAAAGCAAGCACATTTCTTTGCACATTGGCTCATTGGATCTTCGTATTATCCTCTGAGGTAGGTTCGATGGTTAATGCCCTAGTCACAGGTGAGAAAACTGAAGCTTACAGCATTTAAGGAACCATTCCAAGGTTGCTTGTACATTAAATAGAAGAACCTAATGACTATAGAGCTGAAGATTATTGTCCCTACCCTCTACTGTCTTGTCTCCATCTGACAGGGAAGTGAGGAAGCAGTTTCACCCAACCCCGGGGCTACAAAGAGATCACATTCTTTCAAGGCGAAGTCTGAACTACGTATTAAATAATATAAAGAGATTCTACTGTACTTCTCGTTTTCAAGCCAAACATAGGCATGCACTTCCTTACTATATTACATTTGTATTGCAGGAAATCAGTAAATCGCCCCAAGATCCCAAATGGCATGATCTCTCATCAGTCATCTGGGTGTGAACAGTTTCATCTGGAAGACTATAAAAGAGATGTCTTCTTAATCCCCCAATCGTAGTATTAGCACTGCTAGTCCCCTTTCCCCTGAAGCATGAGAGATTAGCTGAGGCTATAGGATGGTGAAAGGCCAAGGGGGATAAGCCAGTGGTTTGATGCGACCCATCCCTTCTGAACATTTTAAAAGAGGCTTTCGGGCTCAACTCTTGGCTGAGCCATATGGCTTTAATACGACTTAAATGACCACACAGAAGCATGTGAGCTCAATGTTTGTGAGGACTTTGCTTCCTCATCAAGCTGCAGTTGCATAACTCACCCCAACAAACTTCCGAAGGAAGTCCCGAGAAGCCTGGATATCTGGGATGGACAGTTCAATGAAATTTCCCATCATACCCTCTTCTGTAGCTGGTACTTCTTGATAGAAAAGTTTAGCTCTGGCATAGAACTGCATCTCCCCATTGATGATTTGACTTGTTAAAGCATACAATTTCACTGCAAATGAAATATTAATATTTATCAATATGTATATGACAGAACAAGTTCAATCTTATCACACATGGAATTGTTTCTCAGAAGCCTGCCCATTTGTCATGTGGAGGAAAGGGCACAGTCAGAAGATCTGGGTCTGAGTTCTGACTCAGTGACTTACTCAATATGTAGCCTTGAGAAAACTTCTTAACCCCTCTGATCTTTGGGTAGCTCATGCATAGTGGCATTTTCATGACTTAATGACCCTATAGTTTAATGAAACTGTAGCTTATTACTGTATATATTTTTTTAAGTTTGGCAGTATTTGTTATCATAGAATAAAGAATGTCACAAGGATGCCTGGGTGGCTCAGTGGGTTAAGCATCCAAGTCTTGATTTTTGGCTCAGGTCATGATCTCAGGTCATGATCTCAGGTCATGGTTCATGGGCTCAAGCCCCACTATGGGCTCCTTGCTGAGTGTGGAGACTGCTTGGGATTCTCACTCTCCCTCTCTCTCTGCCCCTCCTGTGCTCTCTCTCTCAAAATAAATTAACTTAAAAAAAAACACAGCATGTCACAAGTTTCACAGTGAGTTTTATCTTTGAGTTCCAAGTGTTTTATGAGGATTTAGCTGTTAATCTTTACTTCTAATCACAAAGTACATTTGGGGTAGCTATTTTTTCACCTCTTTTTAAGCAACTCACACTGAAATATCTCTTTGTACCAACATTACAGAAAATGTGCTTAAGCTCTATCTTCTGAAAATAAAATAATTAAAAAATGTTATATTTATTGAGCAACTCTTCTGTAGCAGGCAGTGTGCTAGGCACATTCTCATATACTACGTCACTTCATTATTTTAGACACCACATGAGGTATTATTTTAACACATTTATTTTTTGAAAACCATATGTTCCAACTTCTGAGAGGAAAATTTGCATGCATTTAAGTGATCTTTGTAGATGAAAATACACCTCTTCAGGTATAAAATAGTATGTTATACCTCTTCAGGTATAAAATATAAAAGGGTTGCCATATTAGAGGACATTCAGGAGGAAATGGTAAAGAGTGAATGAAAGGAAGGAATTTCTCGTTCAAGAATGTAAACTGAATGCATTTGTCTTTCCTCCTTCCCCATATTCCCCCCAAATTGTTTTAATAACCTCAACACATAACTGAAGAAAATGGGGGGGGGGGGTCGCCACCGATGGATTCATGACTTCAACAAATGTCTGGAAGACAAAAAAGCAGATGGAACAAAGCTAAAAAATTTGCAGCCTCAGATAGTTGCAAAAGGAAATAAGAGTTAATAAAAAACCAGTGAAAGGACAAATGCACCCTCCCAAAAGCAACTGATAGCACAACTGTAATCCTGGGCAGGGAAGTATCTTGTCTTAAAAAAAATTTTTTTTTTTAATTAATCGCCTAAGGAGACCTAAACCAGTTAGTATAGGATCCTGGAATACCACTTATTTTGTCATAGAGAGGACTCTAAGCATCATATCTGCTCACACAGGTGAAACTTTAGTAAGATCTACTAAAGACATATATACCAGAAGAAACATTCTCCATTACATAGAATCATTGACCCTGTTCTTTATTCCTAACTGTGGATGAACAATGATTTCTAAACACATGGGGGTAAAGTGGCAGTCTGAAAGAAAAAATAGAGATAAACAATCAGAAATGACCCCAAAGGAAATAGAACTAACTCAAGAAATGGATGAGAATTTGAACCAAAACTAAACAGAAAATTCACATATCCTTGGAGAGATATGAGAACTGGTGCATCCATAAATCAATGATAAGATGCCAAGAAAGCGATAATTCAACAAATAATAAAGACTTCTTAGAAATTAAAGTTTTGATTACCAAAAACTTTGGAATACAACTTTGAGTAAATTTGTCAGGACAGAAACAAAAAGACAGATGTGGAAAACAGAGGTAAAAAGATTAGAGCTATAAAGACTTAATTCAGGAGGCTCAAACATCAAACCAATTAGGATTTTTAAGAACAGAGAAACAGAAGGAAGAAAATTATCAAAGAAATAATAGAAGAAAATTTCCCAGAGCTAAAAGTGATTGTAGGATCGAACAAGTTCTGAGCAGCATGGATAGAAAAAAATAATAATGATGAAATAAATGCCACATTTACACAAATCTTTAGGAAATTTCAAAATGCAAAGAGTAAGAATTAGAAGATTCTAAAGTTATTTAGAGGGGAAAAGGTGGTTGACCCTCAAGGGTTGCCAGATTTAGCAAATAAAAATATGAGACACACAATTAGCTTTTAATTTCAGTTAAACAATTTCATAGTATAAATATACTTGAAATATTGCATATCACATGAGACATACTTACACTAAGGTTATTTTTTGATTATTTTAAATACAAATTTATTTGGAGTTTTATATTTTATCTGGTAACTCTATACTCAAAGGACTAGAGTCAGGCTTATAACACAAGTCTCATTAGAAACACTAGACAACAGGGGCACCTGTCTGGCTCAGTCAGTAGATCATGTGGCTCTTGATCTCACGATTGTGAGTTCAAGTCCTATGTTGGGTGAAGAGATTACTTACAAATAAAATCTTTAAAAACAAAGAAGCAATGCCATCAATATTCTTAGGGAAAAGTATTTTGAAGCTAAAACTTAATACCCCATCAAACTGTGAAAGACTATTTACCTACCATGGATTCATTCTTCAGAAGTTTGTTGAAGCAATATTCTAGCCCAATGAGCGTTCAAATCAAGAGAAGATACATGTTAAAAGACAATGAAAGTAATCCAAGAATCCAAAGAAAACAAATTCCCAAATGACAGATACTTAACAGATCTAGAAAGTTTTTATTACAACAGAAACTATGGGCCTCAGAAACATAAGTTCACCCAGAAGTAGAATGCATTGGATTCTGGGCAATAGACAGAGTAGATAAGAAGCAAGGAGACATTAGTGATATTCTAAAGAAGACATATTTTTAATCTCAACCATCACAAATAAAAGATAGGTGGAAACTCCGAGCAAAATACACAACAGTACAAAATGTTCTGATCAGGAGGTAAAGCAAACCAAAATAGACATAATTTGCCAGTAGAAAGAAAAGAAACAATAAGAGAGAAAGAGAGTCTATTTAACCTTCACTAGAAATCATTTTTCTTCAGGTAACACCAAGATTGTGAAATTGGACTGATGTACTATTTGTCTCTGGATTAAATAACAATGACATAGTCCCAAATTGTGATTTTAGAAGTTACAAATCCAACAAACACCACTTATATTAAAATATTCCATCATAATACATTCCATCTATGGAGTTACATCAGTATTTTCCGACTCAAAGACTTTGGAGCCACTGTTTGGATCTTTTAATGGTCATAAACTTACTGAAAGGGATATAAGAATCAGTTCTGGTCTACATCATTTCTAGAGACTAACAATATTATATACTATATCTCCCATATATACTATTATACATTGATTGTTTTTAAAATGTCTTCTAAAAGTATTAAATATGTAGATGCTTTTTGCCATCTTATACACATATTAGCAACTGACTGGGGAAATACAACATTAAAAGGAGAGTCTTCATGTTGTGAACATTGGGAACCACTCACCTACACCAATCTCCCTTCTCTAGCACTTGGTAAAGTGTTGTGTAAACAGCAGGTGGCTCAATAAATTCAACAGGGATGACAAAAATCAAGCATAACTGTCCCCATAGCATGACTGCTCCAAATTCTTCAGTATGTCTCAGAAAACCAGGCTAGGAAATCACAGTTCATAGTCTTCCCCGAGCTCCATGCTCCCCGGGATCACAAGCGAGCCACAGCCCAGGAGTTTCCTTGATCCAACCAAAGCAGCAAAGCAGCCACACTCATCATCACCTTAAGTCAACTAGTTGGTGAAGTCCATTAAAAACCTTAATCTGGAAATGAGAATGGTCCATTATGCCAACAACATTTAGACCACAAGTGAATGCCAAGCCCAGCAGGGGTCAGTCTCAATAGGTAGGTTTTTATGGTTATGGGCTTGAGTTCTCATTTTCACCTAATTGACAGGAGCGTTTCACTAAAACGATATATGAGGTGTCATGGCCAGCCCCAGGTTCTCCCCTCCTGATAGCTCCTGCAATGGTGCAAGTTGACTCAGATAAGGTAATCAGTCATCAGCCTGTGCCTTTTTACTACAGAAACACATCTTGTAGCTCATTCTTGTAGGACTGCAAGATCTCTGTGAAACTTGGGGTAGTCTAAGACGGAGTTCTTGATATAGTTCTATTCGTTCTTGATATGATATGGTGCTTGTTTCTTGACCAACATTATGGGCTGACCTCCCAAGAACCTTGCAATAGTTTACTTGTTACAAAAAAGAAAGTAGAATACTAGTTGGTTTGCCCTGAAGAATCTAGATCCTGTGAACTCTCTGAGGAAAATGTAAATAGCTAAGTGCTTCCATCTGCTGAATATCTTCTTGTCTTTTCATTGCCTTTTTATTCCTTTTTGTTTTTCTAAATGGTTGGTTATAGTTAGTTTAGACTTTATTCCAGACATTAGAACTGTTTGTCAACTGAAAATTTATCTGAGAGGATGGGTAGGCTAAGTTTAGACGTTTAGTTTGAAATGATTTGAGATAGGATATTGGATCATGCTAACCTTTTATTTATAAGCAAAAGAAGGAAAGAAAGAAAGAAAGAAAGAAAGAAAGAAAGAAAGAAAGAAAGAAAGAAGAAAAATTAAAAAAGAAAAGCCCAATTAGGACATGCCCTTATGAAGGATAAGACCTTCCATAAAAGAAATTTGCAGATGAGCCCTTCCCAATTTAGCTATTAAATAATTAATGATAAAAATGAAAGGAAGGAAGGGAGGGAGGGAAGGAGAAAGATCTAGGTACCATAGAATATTATTCAGCCAAAAAAATGAAGGAAATCCTGCCATTTAAAACAACATAGATACCTGGATAGACCCTGAGGGTATCATGCTAAGTGAAATACATCACCGCAGAAAGACAAATACCATATGATC